GGTAGTGCAAGCTACAGGTCAACCACGCAGCCAGGAGCAGGTTGAGCTGCTGCAGGAGATCCCTGCCACCCTGAAGGAGCTAAAGGTTCAGAGCCAGAGGTTAGCATTTGTGCTGGATTCAGAACACAACTTGTAAGTTTTCAAGAGTTTTTTTTTTTTTTTGGTTAAACATTTTATTTTATTTTTCCTTAGCATCTACAATGGCTTGGTGAGCTTTGCCTCTCCTCTTGTCACTGAGAGAGGAAGTGACTGTGCAAGTCCCACTTCCACAGTCCAGACCAGCTTTGCTGCTGGTAAGTTTAAAATCTTGCTTTTGTTTTTCTGTAGGTGATTTGTTGAGTTTGATCTCGCTCTCTCTCTCGCACTCTCTCACTCTCTCACAATAGCAGTTCGCTGCAGTGGAGTGAAGACCCAGCCTGACAGCATGTCCCAGAATGCCCGCAAAGCACTTCCTCGAAACTTTGGGACCCCGGTGGACACTCCCCCCAGCACTCTGATGATCAACAGTAAAGGACTGGCCCCAAGCCCCAAAAGAGCCGTGCGGGATCCCAAAACTGGGAGAGGTCAGTTGTGATGCAGATTAGAGGTCGACATATGGGTTTTTCACTGGCCGATATTTAGAAATTAGGGCAGCCGATGACCAATATATGATGCCGATATGTTTGGCCGCTTTTTCTTTTTTTTTTCCCCTTCATCTCATAAAAGTGAGTGAGTAAATGATGATTATTGCAGGGTACAAGATAGTAATAGTAGTAGTAGCCTAATTCAGAGTAATAATACATGGCTCAAAACTTAAGCACCTTCTCAACTTTTGTTTATGTTTGCTGACAGACCAGACTTGCAAATGCGAATTCATTCTCCGCCAGCAGGAGGCACTATTGGAGCGGGAAATATAGCGGTTTCCCCGGTAACGGCTGTAATCAAATAAGCACTGCAATCACAAACGCTACTTTATCAGGCATTACAGGAGAGACGAAATGAAAATGACACCGAAGCTTTTCTGAAGACGGTCGGTTCTTTTCAAAGATATATTCATATAAAAACACCTGTGCTGCATTTTAATTTTGAAACATGCAGTAATCAGTTTATTCAATGAAGTAATAACTCAATGTATGGGAAACAATGGACACTGCTATAAGGCAAATGGCCAAGAGATAACAAAAATAATAGTTCACACATTACACAGCCTGCAGCTCATAACTGCTTAAGAGTGCACTGGCCACGAGCGATGACATCGTGGATGATATTGTCAGACCTACACACACATTTCACGAGGAAAGTTAACGTGCACGTTATAATCAGCCCAGAAGTTTCGTCTGAACTGCATAGTTTCTACTTTCACATGCAAATGACTTGTTGCACTTATGAGTATGATAACTTCCTGGCATCAATTCTAGTAGGGTAAAACGTAATTACGCTTTCGAAATGGTCTGTTTTGCCCGGTCATTATTAGCTGAAACTGTGGGAACAAGAAGCAGCTGCAGAGTGTAAGCTGCTCACGCAGCCAGAGAGAGATTCTCCGGTGATCTGCAACAACGCTTAGCTGCCCGCATATGCGCCTGATTTGCAACACAATCGGCTAATGCCGATTAATTAAAAAATGCCAAAAATTGACAGATTAATCGGCCTGCCAATCGACACTGGGGTTACACCCCTACTCTTTACGAGAAGTGCCATTGGAGCCATAGAGAATCAGGGCCTCGGTTTAACGTCTCATCCGAAGGAACCATGTTATATTTTATTCTAATAAATAAGCTTATATGACACATTTTAGATACCAATTAAATTTTAATTTTTTTTTTACTCCATTCCAATTTCACTACCACAGCAAAAACTACTAGCCATAGAAATATAATGTTCAAACATTAAAGACAAATAAAGAGTCAGTAAATAAGAGCAAGTGAACAAATTACAAGCAACAGTGCAAATGCCTGATTTGCAACACAATCGGCTAATGCCGATTAATTAAAAAATGCCAAAAATTGACAGATTAATCGGCCTGCCAATCGACACTGGGGTTACACCCCTACTCTTTACGAGAAGTGCCATTGGAGCCATAGAGAATCAGGGCCTCGGTTTAACGTCTCATCCGAAGGAACCATGTTATATTTTATTCTAATAAATAAGCTTATATGACACATTTTAGATACCAATTAAATTTTAATTTTTTTTTACTCCATTCCAATTTCACTACCACAGCAAAAACTACTAGCCATAGAAATATAATGTTCAAACATTAAAGACAAATAAAGAGTCAGTAAATAAGAGCAAGTGAACAAATTACAAGCAACAGTGCAAATTAATTTATAGAACAAAGATAGAATTTAAATGGTGCTTTAAATAGCAGACGGGTTGATTTGAAAACGCAAATTCACTCTCTGACAGCAGGTGGTGCTTGATTACCACTAAACAAAGCAGCACTGCGCTTAGTAACTCTACTTAGTAACATTATACAGATGCAAGATGAAAAGAAAATGCCATGTAAACTTTTCTGAAACCAGTAAGTTTCCCTCAGAGATATATTCATATAAACCCCCAATTCAATATTTAGGATTTTTTCCCAGTATTTTGTCATGAACAGTGAGCTGCTCTGCCTGCTACAGTATTTTCTCCTCTTTGCGTCCATCTTCAGCATCTCTGGCCTCTGTTAACGGCCGTTTACACACTTAACTTGAAGCACTTCTCTGATAAGAGATCTTAAGAAATGCATTATCGATTTGAAGCTTTGATAAGATCACTGATCAGCTGTTTTTCCTTCAGCCGTGCAAGAGCGGAATTCCTATGCTGTTAGTGTGTGGAAGCGGGTGAAGGCCAAACTGGAAGGGAGAGATCTGGACCCTAACAGGAGAATGAGCGTCACTGAGCAGGTTAGCATTCCTCCTTTACATATGCAGCCTTACTACTTACTACTGTTTGTATTGTATTGTATTGTATTGTATTTGTCATCTTGCTCTCTTTAAGGTGGATTATGTCATCAAGGAGGCGACAAACTTGGACAACCTGGCACAGTTGTACGAGGGATGGACAGCATGGGTGTGAATGGGATCCTTGTAGATCACTTTGGTCCAGCGAGGGTAGAAATCCACCAAAATCCACTGGGTCTGGGGCAATGGAGCCACAGAGCACCATGCAGGAAAGGGGGGGAGGGGGGTGTAGAGAGCCTCCCTCTGGCCCACACCGGATCCCCGTAGCACAGCTACACCCGGCGATCCAGCTAACACAATGAAATGGGTCTGCATCTGTCTCCCCGAGATGTGTGGGGAGCTCACCAAGATGGGGAGGCGGGGTGGGGGGGACAAAGCACATGCGGCTTGAACTACCCCCCAACCAACCCCTATATCAACACCAACAAATAAACGTCTGTCAACTATCAAAACTAATAGGATTTGCCACAGGGAAAATTTGCAGGAGTTTATCCACTCTTAGAGCAAAGGTCTGCTGTAATTAGCGAGTTTCTAGACCGCATTTGTGCGAGAGTGGAGGGAAAGGGTGATCCGGTCTTGGAGGGATCCTATGGCCTCTGTTTTTGAATGGCTTGGGGTCAGGCACGACTTGCGGCTGGGTTGTCTCCTGCTGGAGCGGGCTTGGAGGGCTGTGTGACCAGAAGGCTCAAAGGACTCCATTTGAAGCCAGAAGGCCTTTGGCAGACCTTAGAGTTCGTTCTTAACCACAAAAAAGACCTTTTCCCTTCAAGTATATATAGAAAACGCTGCAAAAAGAACTTTTTACACCTTCACCAATGTACTGCACAGATTTCACAATTAAAAGGCAAATCGCAAAGTGGCTTTGGGAACATTCACGGTCACGTGTTTCTGAATGTTTGGCACAATGAATGATGTGCTTGGAGTTTGTAAGTGCTCAGTCTCTGATTTGATCGTTGAGTATGACCCAGGCTCAATGTGGTCAGTTTCTAAATGCTTTTTTTCTTAGTATGCATCTCTGATCTTGTTTGTGTATTGTAGATTCTTTCTCCCTTTCCTTCTTTGCTATGGATTTAGTCTAGATTGCTCCTTTTTTTGACTAGCTTGCGTTTTACTGATCTTGACCTAATTTTACATTTTTAGTGGGAGAAATAAGTAAAGGAATAGTGATGTGGTGATGGTTACAATATTGTTGTCTCTTAATGGTTTTACTCCACTTTGTTGGTCAAATAAAACGAATTAAATCTCTGTGTTCTTAAAGTGTTTGCTGTATTTGTTCATGTTTGTCTGATTTTTAGACTTGACATGTTCATACTTAAATTTCATTTTTAACTTGAGTGAAATTGTTTAGACACTTTAGGCTTGTCACAGCAATTCACACTGTCTACCTTCTGTACTGCAATTAGTTTTTCAGGAACAAGTCTTCATTACCCAGTATTAAAAGCAGTGCTGTGACCCCCCTTTCATAATTGGTGAACTATCCCAAGTTGTTGCTTAACCTTGGGTTAATAGTAACCTGATATTGAAAACCTAATTGTTTTTTGAGCATGACACATTTTGCATCCAATTATTAGTAAATGTAGGTTGTTTTTACTTGTTGCTTTAACAGATAATGAGACTTGGATTTGACCTCAGCCATAATAAACTGAAACATTATTTTGATAGTATGTTGAAATATTCAATTGTAGTGAAAACTATATTATGTTGTTATGGTTTAAAATTATAAGCTGTATTAATTTACCAAAACTAACGTTTAGCGCCATCCCATGTTGAGGCTGCCTTCAGTCTTCTCCATTTGTTTTCACATGATTGTACACCATTACAAATCTGGACCCTCTTTAGCATTGTTTGAAGAAATATAAATCTTATTCCATTTTTCTCAAGGTTTATAGTTAATGCATTTTTTTAAGTTCAGCCATTCAACCCTGTTAAGCATTTCACCAAATAAAGTGTACGCACCTTTCACTGATCATTTGTTATGAGTAATGTCGTTACCATTTTAGGCCCTGTAACATATTTATGAACATTTTCCCATTTTATTTTGATAGTGAACTACATTTCCCATGAGTCCTTGTGTTCCGAGTTTCAGATAAAAACATCCTGCATATAACGGTCGCTTCGGTTGACAGACTGCGGCAGTACAGGGGAGGCGCGTTCATATAATCGTGCTGTCCGAGGAACACAAATTCTGAAATACACCAAAATAAACCATGGCTGAGGGCGATAATAAAAGTGCAAATCTGTTGGTAAGTTGCAGTGGCCTGCTGTCGAAATGTATATCTTACTGTGTTTGTCTTAAGCAATAGACTTCTACTGCTGTCACAATCTTAAACCGATTAAAAAAGACTTGACTGGGACCATAAGGCTTAATCTGTCTTATATTTTTAAATGTTGGTCGTGTGAATGCTGCGAATAGAACGTAAACACGACAAGATATATGAACTGCGTGATAAGATGTTAGCAAGCTAATTCAGTGCTAACGAAACGGATTACTCTAGGCTATATCTAGCGTCTTATTAAATGGTTTTATGGAGAATGGATTTGTTTGATATATATTGACGTTTGTATTAAGTATTTGCTTTGGATAAATATTTGTAAATTGCATGAGCGTTGCTGGAGATAAGCTAGCTTAGTTAGGCGAGTCTTTATATCATGGTCTACCGTGGTCATTGTTTTAGAGATTGGTTGTAAAGTCACCAAGAATTCTGGTTGAAGTTTATGCTTTAGCCTTTTAAAATACACTTTAAACATCTAACTACCCATATTTTTACATGATATCCCAGATAAAGGAATTGACTGGGCTGACCCTTTAAACTTGGCCTGCTGGTCTGAACACAGGATTGCACAGTCGCTGTCTTTAAAGCCATTTATGTACTCCTCTTTTACATCATATATGTTAACAACTAAAATATCTCTCTGATAAGCTAATAATTCTCGTTGGTGTCTATTTTAACATTCCTGACGTTCCAGCTGGACGTGCCCATCCCATGACTTTCATGACACTCCCATTGTACAACAATTTCCGATAAACCCATCTCATCTGTTGTTAGTTTTTCAGGAACAAGTCTTCATTACCCAGTATTAAAAGCAGTGCTGTGACCCCCCTTTCATAATTGGTGAACTATCCCAAGTTGTTGCTTAACCTTGGGTTAATAGTAACCTGATATTGAAAACCTAATTGTTTTTTGAGCATGACACATTTTGCATCCAATTATTAGTAAATGTAGGTTGTTTTTACTTGTTGCTTTAACAGATAATGAGACTTGGATTTGACCTCAGCCATAATAAACTGAAACATTATTTTGATAGTATGTTGAAATATTCAATTGTAGTGAAAACTATATTATGTTGTTATGGTTTAAAATTATAAGCTGTATTAATTTACCAAAACTAACGTTTAGCGCCATCCCATGTTGAGGCTGCCTTCAGTCTTCTCCATTTGTTTTCACATGATTGTACACCATTACAAATCTGGACCCTCTTTAGCATTGTTTGAAGAAATATAAATCTTATTCCATTTTTCTCAAGGTTTATAGTTAATGCATTTTTTTAAGTTCAGCCATTCAACCCTGTTAAGCATTTCACCAAATAAAGTGTACGCACCTTTCACTGATCATTTGTTATGAGTAATGTCGTTACCATTTTAGGCCCTGTAACATATTTATGAACATTTTCCCATTTTATTTTGATAGTGAACTACATTTCCCATGAGTCCTTGTGTTCCGAGTTTCAGATAAAAACATCCTGCATATAACGGTCGCTTCGGTTGACAGACTGCGGCAGTACAGGGGAGGCGCGTTCATATAATCGTGCTGTCCGAGGAACACAAATTCTGAAATACACCAAAATAAACCATGGCTGAGGGCGATAATAAAAGTGCAAATCTGTTGGTAAGTTGCAGTGGCCTGCTGTCGAAATGTATATCTTACTGTGTTTGTCTTAAGCAATAGACTTCTACTGCTGTCACAATCTTAAACCGATTAAAAAAGACTTGACTGGGACCATAAGGCTTAATCTGTCTTATATTTTTAAATGTTGGTCGTGTGAATGCTGCGAATAGAACGTAAACACGACAAGATATATGAACTGCGTGATAAGATGTTAGCAAGCTAATTCAGTGCTAACGAAACAGATTACTCTAGGCTATATCTAGCGTCTTATTAAATGGTTTTATGGAGAATGGATTTGTTTGATATATATTGACGTTTGTATTAAGTATTTGCTTTGGATAAATATTTGTAAATTGCATGAGCGTTGCTGGAGATAAACTAGCTTAGTTAGGCGAGTCTTTATATCATGGTCTACCGTGGTCATTGTTTTAGAGATTGGTTGTAAAGTCACCAAGAATTCTGGTTGAAGTTTATGCTTTAGCCTTTTAAAATACACTTTAAACGTCTAACTACCCATATTTTTACATGATATCCCAGATAAAGGAATTGACTGGGCTGACCCTTTAAACTTGGCCTGCTGGTCTGAACACAGGATTGCACAGTCGCTATCTTTAAAGCCATTTATGTACTCCTCTTTTACATCATATATGTTAACAACTAAAATATCTCTCTGATAAGCTAATAATTCTCGTTGGTGTCTATTTTAACATTCCTGACGTTCCAGCTGGACGTGCCCATCCCATGACTTTCATGACACTCCCATTGTACAACAATTTCCGATAAAGCCATGTCATCTGTTGTAAGAGAACTCTTTGTTTAGACACTGTTACTGACTAAAAGCTTTTCTCTAGGCTCAAGAAACGAGTCAGCTGGAAGAGCAGCTTCAAGGATGGGGAGAGGTCATCCTGGCTGGAGATCAGGTCCTGCGCTGGGAGAAGCCGTGGTACCCAGCAGCATTAGTGGGCGCCACCACAATCCTGTTCATGTGAGTCTGCGGTTCATAGCATGCATTAGAGCTACTTCTTGACTTAAGGCCTAATCTTTCACTTTAGTTAATTGGATAAGGTTAAAGGATTAGTTCACTTCCAGAATAAAAATTTCCTGATAATTTACTCACCCCCATGTCATCCAAGATTTTCATGTCTTTCTTTCTTCAGTCGCAAAGAAATTAATGTTTTTGAGGAAAACATTCCAGGATTTTTCTCCATATAATGGCGTCAATGTGGACCAACAGGTTGAAGGTCCAAATTGCAGTTTCAAAGGGCTCTACACGATCCCAGCCAAGGAATAAGGGTCTTATCTAACGAAACGATCTGTCATGTTCTAAAAAAAGAAAAAAAATGTATGTACTTTTTAACCACAAATGCTCATCTTGCACTAGGGCTGTGTATCACCAACAATGTCACGATACTTATCACGATACTAAAGATACGATGTGTATCACGATACGGGTCAATTTTGGAATTACATTTATTTTGAGCAGAATTTCGTGACGGTAATATTTGTTTATTGTACATTGAATAGCCAGTGTTATCACGGTTTTGATAACTGAAAAACAATTTTGCTTGGTCATTAACAAACAACAATATAACTTAAGTGAAATAAAAAAAAAACTTAGAATAGATCTTCCTTCTGCATTTTAAGTCTCTGACTCAATAACTTAAGTATAATGCCAAGTGCTGAAACATGTCAACAAGGCTCAATGGCTGAACAAAACTTGAAACACATTCCATAATAGCAACAAAAAAAAACTGTAACAATCTTTAACTTTCTCAAACACTTCACATTTTAAACACCTTCACATTTTGGTCTCAAGTGGTGGAATGTGCAACACAAACATCACTTTACATAATTACACCTTCAGATTTTTAAGCAGAAACATCAACTGATCAACATGCTCAGGGTTAAGAGTACTCCTCTTTGCTGTAATGATATCTCCAGCAGTGGAGAACACCCTCTCTGCTGCTACACTTGCACCAGGGATACAGAGGGTACAGCTTGCCAAGTTTGATAGTAATGGGAAATCAGACTGGTGCTCCTTCCACCAGATGAGTGGATCTCCTGTAAGAGGTAATGCCTCTGTATTTCCTGACTTCATCAGAGGCCTGATTATATGGTGACACCGGTGGATGTTTTGTTTTGGGAGGGGGAAATTAATCTCCAAATAAGTCCTCAAGAGCACAAGCGTCCACTTTCTTTCTCAGCATGCTTTCTGTTCTGTTTTTCTTCATTATTCTGGTTCTGAAATAATCATAACATGGCATTGTAATTAATAACTTTTACAGATCTCATGTAACCCACATTAATAAAAACTAAATATTTTCAGTTGATCTCCAACAAAACATTTTTACAGTGTAGATAGATAAAAACATATATGCAGTGTAAAATAAGTTACCTATAAAACCAAGTAATAAGACAATAACTAGCATTATAATATAACTAGCTGATATAATGAACATTAACTAGTTTTCTGACAGTCGACCATTGCAAGTGAAGTCTGTGATGCCTCCATTGCCATTTTGGTGTTGACATCATGTCTGTTCTCCTCCTCCAAAAAGGGCAGTGCTTTAAAGCGTGGATCCAGCGCTGAGGTCATGTTCAGAAAGGGTATTTCATGCTCATATCTTTTCTCCAGATCTCCAGCAACAGCGATCTTTATGTCCTGCGTCACTGCCGAGTCAGTGTTTTCAATCTGAGTGCCGCGACTTAACTGAGCATGCAAAGGTGCGATGATTGAAACCATAGGGGTTTTCTCATCCGACATAACGTGCGTTGCCAATTTAAGTGGCTTCAGTGCATTTATTACATCTTCAGCACAGGTTATGTCTGCTTCTGTTAATGTCCACAGATCTTTTGCATTTTTCCGCACCTCAGCTGAGAGTAATGCAGCACAAATTGCAGGCTGTTGTTCTACGAATCGCTCCAACATGTCATGTGTGCTGTTCCACCTCGTGCAGACATCGGTCATCAGCTTATGCTCAGGAAGGCCAAGTAACTTTTGCTTCTCGTGCAGGACATGGCAGGCGATTTGTACTTTTCCTAAAAAATTTTGTGATGTTCCGAACTCTTCCAAGAAGATGGGAAACTGTCGGTAACATCAGAGCCCGTTGAGCAGCCAGGTTCAAACAGTGCACAAAGCATCTCACGTGAACTAATTTGGCTATTTCTGCAGCTACTGACATATTAGATGCATTATCAGTCACTAGCACTGGATCTTTGTCCTTTTATTCCCGATTCGTTCATCACATCTTTGAGCAAATCTGCCATGTTTGCTCCTGTGTGATTGTCAAACATTGCTCTGGTCTGCAGAACGTTCGAGACAAGTTCCCATTGTGGCGTTATGTGGTGGCAAGTTATCGTAACATATGACTGGGTTGCTTGCGAAGTCCACGCATTGCAGGAAATGGAAACTCCCTCTGCAGAAGAGAGTGACAACAGAACGTCTCGTTTAACTTCATCATACAAACGAGGAATTGCCGTTTCTGTTAAAAACTGACGTGTCGGTATTGTGTAACGTGGCTCACACTCGTGAAGTAATTGTCTGAAGCCGTTATTCTCGACAACGCAGTATGGCCGTAAATCCTGACACATGAAACGCATTAAAGCATTTGTTATATTCTGAGAGTGCTGAGACGTGGATGGGAGTTTCGAGTTAAAAACATCGGGTAAGGTTGGCTGCTTCTGAGACGACAGGTGTGTGCTGCTACCTGCTCCGACCAAGGCTAGGTGGTCTGGATGATGTCTCATCATATGCAGAGAGAGGTTTGTCATGTTGCCGGAATACTTAACTTTTGCTTTGCAGTTCTTGCATATGGCATGACTCATGTCTAATGTCTCACTCTCCGGTTGAGTGTAAAACCCAAAATTGTCCCATATTTTTGATTTTACTTTTGTCTGCAGTGGCAGAATCCTCTGATCCATTTTGAATAGTGCGCTGCTGCCACTCGACGTCACATGATGTGGCAGTATCGATACAGCAGCAGCTGTATTGATACGCGCATTGTCAGGAGTTCATGACGATGTATCGCTGTATCGATATTCTGAGCACAGCACTATCTTGCACTAGCTCGACTTCACGCATTATGTAATCACTAGGGATGTACCGATACTGGTATCTGTATCGGGCCCGATACTGAGCTCCTGTACTCGTACTTGTTAAAATTACCATTTTCTAAACTATAGCGAATAAACGGTGATAATGTGAGAAATGTTGAAGGTGTCAATTTTGATTTGACTGTCTATTTGATAAATGAAGTTAACCAACTAACATTATACTCTTTTGGTTTCTGTACCCAATATTTAAAAAATTTACAAATGCAATAAAAATATTGGTATCGGTACTCAGTATCGGCAAGTACAAAAATAAAAGTATCGTATCGGGCGAGTACTGGAAAAAAGTGGTATCGGTGCATCCCTAGTAATCACGTTGGAAAGGTCATGAGTGATGTAGGCAGAAGGAGTGTTAGGGGGTGTGCCCGAAGTGTGAATCCGTATTTAGAAAGGCATGGAAAACAAATAACATTTGCTAACGGTTGCCTGTTACATTACAGTACTTAAAATTTCACTTACCACATAAACAGAGTTAAGAGAGATGACTGAGGTTCATAAAGGCACGGAAAACAAATAACGTTTGCTAACGGTTGCCTGTTACATTACAGTACTTAAAATTTCACTTACCACATAAACAGAGTTAGGAGAGATGACTGAGGATGATGGCGAATGATTTGCAGATTCTGAGCACCACTGACAAACATCTAATCTTGTAAAATGTGTGGTAAGTACTGCCGCTCCATAGTATAAACCGAGTACATGCGATCGCGAATAGGGATGGGCGATATGGGCTTTAAAATATATCACGATAATTTCTGATATTTAATTCGATAACGATATCAATGACGATAATTTAGGGAATCCTGTTTCATTAGAGAAAAGTATTATCTTTCCTATTTTTACCCAAAATAGGGTGTTGTGAGCATTACTGAGTACACTCTTAATGTAATGGCCCTTGCGCAGAAACTCCTCATATGCATAGCAGAAGTAATGCTCCAGGAAGAAGTATCCAGTGCTGAATAAAACGCAGATAGAGAAATTAACTGAGGAAACCTGAAGACAATAAACATGCGATTGCACAAAATATATGGTATGTGTTCTTCAAGCAATCTTGGGTATTATCAACCGATTTTGAATCGTCACATATTTGAATCGATTTTCAACCGGCTCGCAGTTAGTCGTTACATCCCTAGACAACAGGTTTGTAAACGACTCATACACATGTAAAACTGTGTCGCACACGTGCTACTGTAGTACATTTACTCAATGCTCAGACCGATTTTTGTCACACTGTACAGCCCTATCCAAACCTGTTCCAGATTGTAGAAAGAGCTGGTCAATTTCACATCCGCCTTCCTTCACGTCACTCCACACAGTCGCACACAGAAATATGTCAACAACTAGACTTTATCGTTATTATCGCGGGAAGATGAATTCTTATCGTGTGGAGAATTTATACCGGTATATCGCAAACGATAAGATATCGCCCATCCCTAGTTGGGAATCGAAAATCGATTCCGATTCCAGAATCGGATAATTTATTTTCTTCTTCTTCATCTGTGAGGACCGGACCTAGCGATCTGTCAGGACCTTGCTCGCTAATCTAAGCGCTCCAAAGTTTGGCAACATTTGCGATCAGAAGCCAAAAAAAGC